AGGCTCGTCTAGGTCTCGCATTTTGGCAACACTAGTTACAGAACAAAAGAAATACATTTAAATAAATAAGAAACTACATCAAATAAGAAAAGTTACATTGGATAAATAGAAAACTTTATGTAAATTTAAAATAAACTAATGGAACTATATACAAAATATTTAAAGTATACAACATAAAAATAAGAATGAAAAAAAAATAACCCCAGCTTAGCTAAGAATATAATAATAAAAAGAGATAAACAAGATAGGAAAAAAACAGTAAATATTAAAAAAAATTCTTCTAATATATAAGCAACAAGTAAAAATTAATAACATAAAGCAAGTATAAAGAAATAACCAAAAACTCAGAACGCACGTTCAACTCCTGGGAGATGAAAGTATTGAGAAGAATATGGGGCGGAATCTTTGAGAATAAAATTGAAAGAAGAAGAAAGAATGAGAAGCTGCGGGAACTTTATGGTGAACCTGATATTGTGGCATTGATAAAAAGAGCCAGAATCAGATGGTTAGGTCATATGGAAATAATGTCAAGGAGGATGCTGCATGAGAAGCCGGATCGCAAAAGAAGTATAGGGCGCCCTCGGATCAGATGGCTGGAGAATATGGAGGACGATCTGAGACCGTGGAGATTGGTTGGTTGTAGTGGAGGAGGCCTGGGTTCTTGCAGGACCGTAGCGCCATAATAATAATAATAATATAAAGAAATTAAGATTTATCTATTTTATCTCAATAAAAAGTTAAACATAAATAGTGGGAAAATAAATAAAGTAAGTAACTTTAAGAGCATGGAAATCATTTACAACAGAAATGGTTGATATCTACAACCACTAGCGGATCCAGAATTTTATTTTGAGAAGGGAGCTTCGCCCTGAAAACTTTTTTTTTTTCATAAATATATCTATAACTACTTTGGAAAAAAAAGAAAGATATATGAGATCGTGTTTAAGTGATTCTTGGAGTCCTATTAAATGTAATTACATGAACAATAATACTTTAAAAGATCATTTTTTACCATAAACATGGTTACATTTTACCATTTGGAGAAGGAGTTTCAGCCCGAAAGCCCCCTCCCCCGTAGATCCGCTTGTTTATACAACAGAATTATTGCATGAAAAATATACATACAAGTTCATAAGTATATATATGTATAAACAAGATCATGAGAAGGAGAGAAATATATATTGGATACCACAGTTGATATAATACCACAAACCCATAGATACAAAAAGTCAAGGAAACACTGGAAGGCCATAGGAGGCTCCCTCACTCCTCCACTCCCAAGATATTTTATTGCTCACCTTTTCTTAAAAACAGAGCCAGCGAAAATAGAATTAGAAAAATCGTAGATGGTATACAATTACAATTGTTGCGATCTGTTTCATTTTTTCGTCAAAATATGCCCCCCTCAAAAATGTTGATGGCGCAAGTTGCGCAATAAAAATAACAAAAATAAAAATTCCTTCTGGGCACCTCTGATCAGGAGAACCAATGATTCTTTATTTTGTCATCGAACGTGACCATTTAATTGGAAGAACGAAGATGAAGGAGGGGGCCGAAAAAAGAAAGGAAGTTAGACCATAATTTTTTCGAGTTTATTTTATATCTCAAACAGTATAATATTCTTAATAATTTGAGCAATACGTTCTCAATATTTTAAATAATATATTCTTTCAAAACTGACATACAAGTGACAATCCAAAACTTTCCCAATCAGCGATACAAACTAAAACCGATGAATTGTGAAATCGTATTGGAGCAAATGTCCCAAAGCACGAATTTGGTACGATGTGGGTTCAATTCCCAACTGAATGAGCTAAATTTAATTTCATGACGTTTCCGTGAAAGAAATCTTGACTTTTGTACTTCTATTTTAATAGCCATGGAGGTGATTCAATTAATCCATAACATAATGCAGTACTTCATTTTGCATATTTTAAATTAAGCAGTTTAAAACAAAGATGAAATAAATTATAAAAATACTTCAAAAAAATAAACTCGTGAAGCTTAACATGCATGACTTAGATACATTGATGTTAATGTATGAAAATAAATTGATTAGCTGTCGGAGTATTCTATCGATTGGAAATTACGTTGTTCTGTGGTGTTTAATAATAATAATAATAATAATAATAATAATAATAATAATAATAATAATAATAATAAAAGGCTTAGCGAACCCGAAGGTTCGATGTCGACACCACCAATCGCTTATTACACACCTCCCTCCACCGTTCGCCGTCCAAACCCAGTCCCTTCAGATCGGCTTTAATGCAATCTTCCCATCTTCGCTTCGGTCTACCCCTCGGACGCTTACCATTCGGCACAGCAAATATTAATCTTTTAGGAATTCTCTCGTTACTAAGCCCAACAACGTTACAAGCCCATTTGATTCGCCGCGACGAAATTACCTCAATTATATTACCCGGATACAGTTCACGCAATTCGGCGTTGTGTAACCGTCTGAACTCTCCGGTTAACTCATCCTTCTTCGGTCCGAATATTCTACGCAATACTTTATTTTCAAAAACATTAAGACGCTGCTCATCCCTTAGTGTAAGCGGCCAAGTTTCGCATCCATAAAGAACTGTAGGCAAGATAATTGTTTTATAGATTCTAATTTTTAAGTTCCGGGACAAGAGGCGTCTGTGGTGTTTAGTTTCAGGAAATTGTAACATAAACTTTTTAACAGAAAGTATATAGATTTTATTTCATTTTGTAAACTTTCGAAGTCTGAAGTTTGTTAACGATAGAAACATTTGAAAAACTTAAATATAATACAGTCAAATAAAAGTTTATATTAGATGGTAGCTAATAGCTAAAATATACTGTGGGAATTATAATCAATTGAATGAACTACTTCATTCGGTTGTCAAAGACAAATTAATTTCAGTACAGTTTGTGAATAAACTAAATTGAGAAACTTACCAAACTTCGAAAACTATATCGCCACTTCAAAACACCACTACAAGATATAGCAATTAAGTCTGTTTATATTCTCAAAGTAGTTATAGACATTTAAAACTCCCTGCCAACTACAGTTATTATCGTTGCTAAGAAACCGTTCTACAATCGATACTACTTTCTTGTTTATCAGGGGGGTGTAATCGATACCTTTTCGATCAAACTTTTCGAAGATTATATTTTTACTCCATTAACTACGTATCAATGTTCCCAAAAATAAAATTATGAAAAATAAAATATAAAATCGCTAAATAAATTATAGTGGACTCTGTAATCATAACTAATTTAATTGGAGATGGGGAGGGGGTTAATGTTATTTATTTTATTACTTGGATTGAATTTATTTTAGTCAATATTAATGTTGAATAATTTTTTTTATGAAAAAAAAAAAATCTAGTTTTATCTCTATCCTCACACCCCCACATATATTATTACAGTAAGACTCAAAATCGGTTTTGTACCAAATATAAGCTCCTGTATAAACCATGCTCAAATATCATGAATGGGGTATCGCTGGATTCAGAATTTCACAGGGGATTAGCGAATCGTATTCTCACCTTTTGTTTTTCTTTCTAAATTAAATAAAATCGATACAAACATTTAGCTAGGCTTCAATACTGGCACGGTGGTAGGTCTTTTAAGCCCATAAACGTACTATTTTCGAGATAATAGGCATAGGCATAGGGTTCTCATCCACACAACCTTACATTAATTGTAGTACTGTCATTGAATACATATCTCAATTCGTCGATTAAAGTCCTCTATGATCGAGAGAGGAGGAGTTTATATTATTTATCGATGGTGTTTTTGATCGGCAAGCCATATCATCGTTAATTCCTCACCAAATCTCAAGATTGAGCCACCAATTTCGAAGGCTGTCTTCTCCTTCAGGCGGGCAAAATAATCCAATTACCACGATAATTCAGGCAAATAAGTAATGAAAGAAAACAAACATTATTTCTGAATAACTAAAAAATTACACACTTTCCCTTGGTTATGCCCATGATTATATAAAATATTACTAAATTACCTACAAAAGGAAAAAAAAATCATCGGAATCGAGCAATTTTTAGCAAAGATACAGTTTATTGAAATTTGTAAACATGTTGGTTCCAAACATTAATGAAAATTTAAATTAATTTTTGTTTCCTTTGTCGATTATATTTATCGATAAAGTAACTATTGATTTCTTGATCTTTTGATATGTTGCATTATTGTATTTTCTAATTAATTTGACATTTGATAACAATATGCCTACTAGTGATAAATAATTACTTAAGCTTGAAAAAAACAAAACAATATTTAGTCTTTCTCAAAGAATATTTAAACAAATATATATATTTTTTTAAAACCATATTCTGCTTTAACTAGTTATTTGGATGGAAACAGCTTTAAATAGTATTACTTTAAATCACTAATCCAGGATTTGATTTGGGGGGGGGGAGGAACTTCAGCCTGGAAGTTTTTTTTTCATATATATAACGATAATTATTTTGGAAAAACAGAATGATACTAACTACCTGTATGAAATGGTGTTTAAGTGATACTTGAAGTCTTATTATGTAATTAAACAAACAATAATACTTTAAGACATAATTTTTTAATATGTTTTACCATAAAACATGGTTACATGTTACCATTTTGTGGGGAGGGAGCTTCAGCCCCTAAGCCCCTCCCCTTCCCCATAGATCCACCTGTGCTTTAAATAGTACACCTTTGTATTATCAGTGTATTAATGAGTTTTAGAAAGTAATGCTAATTCGCTCTATAAAATTATAAACTTAACTCCACTGTGAAACCGTATCACTCAGTAAATGATCATTATTTTTAATCGAATAAATAAACATCAAAGATCAATTTAAATTTTTATTTATAAATCAGGCACGATTTTGAAATTAAAAATCAAATATAATAATTTTTACACGATTTTATGAAAAAAATAATAATCGATTTCAAACCCGGGTTAATACAAAAATCAACTTTGTAACTTTTCAAAAGAAATAAATCATTTTCGATGATAAAACTTCTTTATTTTGTAGATGGTAGTTTGGAGGTCTCCATCAGCAAATATCACACAAATAAAAATGATGGATTCATTGGAAGCTTTAAAAGAAATTGAAGGTATGACGAGTCTCGCAGAAAAAGAAATTAAGGAGATATCAATGATTGCATGGGTAAGCGTGATTTATTTTTAAATAGAAATAATTATCTGTAATCATACCATAGCTCAATCAAATACTAAAATATTCAAATTTTATAAAATTCAAAAAGTGGACTTAACTGATTTGGTTTATGTACAAGTATATGTATAAATCTTTATATTTTGATTTTATCTACTTCTGTTACCAATTTCTCCTTGAAACCCGTAGGCTCCTGGTCACTTCCTTAATTTTTCCCCACTTTGAATATTGCTGTATGGTATATGGGGGATCTCGAGGCAAAACTAAATAGTTTGATAAATTGCTTTGTACGATTCATCTTCGGGATCCAAAGGGATACCTCTGTTTCCCGTTTTTATGTAGTGTTGAAGTGGCTTTATCCTTCCTACCGTCGTAAATATTTCCTGGCATCCTTCCTCTTTCAAGTCATCCAATCCCACCGTCCTTCATAGATCTTCGAGCTCTTCCAATTCAAATCCTCTTTTCGTTGCCACAATACTCGTTCCAGGTCTTCTGATTTATACATAAGGGTCCACCAAACTGCTGCTTTCGAAAGATCGTCCATTATCTTATCCTCATCCCTATGGAACTCCATCCCTCCCCATAACCATCAATCCAAAACCCTTCCTACCTTTAAATCCCGCCTCTTCAATCATTTCTTATCCATCCAGTCCCCATAAAATTGTAAATAGAAACCACTGTAAATATGTATATAGATTATTAGATCGTTATTCATTATTTTGACTTTATTTTCAATTTTTTATTATTACTATTTAATTACTCAACATTTTTTTAATGTATCTCTGCGGCTCCTTAGCCCACATTTCTGTCCTTATGTATTATTCTAAAGGGACTCGTCCCAGAATAAATAAAGCATTATTATAATTATTATTTTTGATTTCAGAAGAATGCACATGATATGAGGCCTGTAACCCTTGCTGCACTCGCAAACAGTAAAACTTCAAGACCCCACAATACGCTTAGCAAAATGAGATATAGAAATATGACAAGTGCAGCGAAATCGTTAGATATATTAAGACAAAATTTGCAGGCTGCTATCAATAAAGAAATCGATTTAGTTATAAAGAAGTATTTAGAGGTAATTTTATATAAGGTTTTTTTTTTTTACTTCTTTGCTCAAATTTTTGTTTTATATTTGTGGGTAATATGATATATTTGAAGAAGATGTAAAAATACAAAATCCAAATTTTTTCATATGGTTAAACAATTTTCATATTAAATAAACTGAATTATTAGGAAATAAGTTTTAAGATATTTCAGATAATATTTATATTGCTTAAGGAGATTTCGAGAATTTTATTATTTTTTTCCTTTTTGCTGAGCAATATTGAGATTTCAGCCAGTATCCCCCTCCCCTAAAAAAAAAATAAACATCAATTGCGAACAATGCTATTGGTGTTAATAAGCCTTTATGTAATTTTAGAATTACGAGCAATATTGACACTTTGTTTTATCTGGAAAGGTTTCCTTTGAAGGGGAAATAGAGAAAAAAGTAGAACAGTGAAAAACTTTAAACAATAAAATATTCTAAATTAGGAAGAATTCTACAAGTATGACCAGCCTATTCTAACCAGAGTTGGAAGGCGAGATTCATTACATAGATCCAACAACAAAATAAATTTCAAAACGTTTAGGCCGGATTCAAATTGGCGCCACTTAAATTGAGGCTGTTAAGGTTATGAGACTAACAATGTCCGCCACCATGACCTCAAATAATTTTTAATTGCTCCATTCTCAATAATTATTAGAACTCTAAAGTTATAATAAAAATAAACTGTTCAGTAACAGATTTCTTAGAATCCGAGATCACACACAACCGCCGGTTTTTCTCCCTTAATTAATTATTTAATAATGAGTAACCACTTTATACAAGTTGGCTGTAGGGTCTACTGATCCTATACAACTATGATACAGTTGTTCCACAGCTGATGAAAAAGAATTAATAATTACCTACCACACTCGTACTTCGAACCTGGGACCTTGAGCATTGGAGTACGACGTCTTACTCACTGAGCTACCCCACTCCTCTACTTATACATTTATATTTAATCAAAATGGTTAATGTAATATATACATTAATTATCTTGATTAAAATTTAATTTTATGATAGTAAAAATAAGTCCACAACAATGAGAATAAATTTTTTTCTGTAATTATTCTACTTTTATCTTTCTTTTTGACATAAGATTATTTATTTAAGGAAGGAGATGGTCCGGGGTGGCGGTCATAAATAGACTAAATAGTGGCAAAACTATTTTATTGAAAACCAACGTTTCGACAAGATGGACAAGATATAAAAATATATAGAGAATTATGGAAGTTACAGAATATTTAGATACAAAAATCATAAACAATGTGTATAATTATTTATTCGTATTCTTATTTGTGAATAATTATTCACATTGTTTATAATTTTTTATCTAAATATTATGTAACTTCCACAATTCTCTATATTTTTTTGTGTCTTTCCCGTTCTAGCCCTGAAGAATACTTGCAAAGTCGAGTCAAAATGTTGGCTTTTAATAAAATAGTTTTGTCACTATTTAATCTATTTATGACCACCACCCCGGACCATCTCCTTCCTTAATAATACAACGGTCAACTATTAAGTATTTAATTGGATTATTTATTTAATTTTTACTCTCCAGTACAAATCTTTGTCCAATGAAAAAATGCCAGTCAAATATCAACTTTGTTCTATAAATATGTGAAGTTTCATTTAAATCAGTATATGCCACTCCCTTAGGTTTACTTGTAAGTGAAATATATATAAACCCAGTATTATTATGTTGACCTCTAATCCTTTCCATGTAGTTTCATTAGCCTTTCACGATTGTTTTTGCACTTTACATTATTTTCTCTACTAACAATTTAGTGTTAAGTATTTACATAGCCTAGTAATTTTTTTGTTTTAGTTTTATTTGAGCTTTATTTATTTGTATACATTTATCTGTAGCTGAATTTAGAGTAATGATAAGGTCATTTTTCCTTAGAAATTTTTTCAGCCTGCTGTAAGAAATATCCGCGAGAATCTTGGCGCAGGAAGCGTGACAGAAGACCTGATTAGAGAAGTATGCAGGGCTATGCTTGAAGAAGCAAAACAGATGTATTGCTCTGTTACACTGCACAAGAGCACTTCCCCCCCCGCAGACACTGAGTTCCAAACACCAGATCAAGTAGATAACAGCACCTTTTTTTTTTTTTTTAAATGTCCTTTATAATTATTTAAATACTAATCAGATGTTAGAAAATAAATTAAAACAAAAATGGATTTGTACCAAAATTAGAATTTATAATAAAATTTGAAAGTTATCTACTATAAATAAAGTAGAACTCTGCTTATCTGAAACGAGAATTATTCGGAACTTTTTTTTTTCATTTTACTTTTGAATTAAAAGGAATAATTAATAAAACTTCACAATTAATAGGTACTTGTATAAATTAAAGATTAGATTATAAAAATAAAAAAGCAAAAAGTCCCGAATTTTTCTATTGCATAGTTGTAAAGATAATTAGCGTTAAAGAAAAGTAATAGGAAGAACCACGTCACGAGATTGGAGATACAACTACATCATGACATCCCTGTGCCTATCTCTTACAACTTATCTTATACTTTTTAGTTTTCAATAGTATTTCTAGCTTCAAAACTTCCACCCAAGAAATATCTTCCCACTTTTCTTCTTCTCCTGTTGTCTCTAAATAAAAATATTTAAAATGTATATAAAGTTATAAATGCATGTTAATGAATTAGAGCTGAGGGACGTATTGACAATATCGTGGTTAGCAACTGTATGAGTTGTTATGTGCTGCCTATCTTTTAAAAAAAAAAAAAAAATCTCAGAAGTTTAAATTATTTACAAAAATTATGATAGGCAATTAAAATAATCAACATAATTAGTGTAAAACGAACAATACTATACTATATATGAATCAAATTTATATACATACTAGTTGGCCCTTACGAAAAATTCGCAGAAAATTTTGTTTAGTGAAAAAATAGCAAAACAATATGGGAATAAGTAGTTCCTGTGTATTATGTAAGGAAGGAATTAATAGTTTTTCCTTGGTTGATCACAATATTATATTAAACATAATAGACCAAAATATTTGTACAAATTGCTTTGCTGGGACCTATTTTTATCCGCTAACTAGAAAGATAATAAAAATAATAAAGACAAAATAATGCCCCGATCATAGGATATTGTAAATTATTAAAAAAATTAAAATGTAAGAACAACCAAATGTCTTTAAGAAATAATAAAGTTACTATAAAAGTATTCTTCTCCTAAATGCAATATCTTTAAACAGGAAGACATTATTAAGTATACCAAAAGTAATGGACTGTATCTTTGATAATAATTATCCGATTTTTTTTTGTTTTGTAGGTAATTTAGTAATCTTTCTAATCATCATGGGTACAATTAAGAAAAAAAGGCATACTTTTTGAGTTATACACAAATAAAGTTTCTTTTCCTTCATAACTTTTTCCTCAGAAATTTTGGGAGGATAAACTATTTTTCGCATGTGAAGGAGAAGAATATCTTCAAAATGAGTGGTCAATCATTGGATTTGGTTGAAAGTTATGGCGTATCGACAAAAAAACACCTTTTAGGAATAATATATAGGAAGTTTATATATTAGATTTTTTTTTTGTTTTTACAAATGGCTTATGGGTATATTTGAAAACATCTTAACAAATGAATTGAATACGTTTTTTGTTTTTTTCTGTTAGCATTACAGACGATGTAGATCTTTTGCAACATTAACAAGCCTGTTCGATCTCTGCCTGTCCTGGGCTATTTCTTTCCATTTATCTGCAGGCAGCTCTGTTGCATATTTGTTGATTCTATCTATCCATCTGCTTTTTGGCCTTCCACGTGGTCTTTTGCCTTCTATTGAGGCATTCATTGTTACGTAGAAGCTTCCAGATGGATTGCTACGAGCTATATACCCCATGCATCTTAACCTCTGTGCCTTCATATCATGAGATATTGATTGACCAGTTTCTGTAAAAGGTTCTTTACTGGTCTTTCTTTTCCACGTGTTAGTACTCTGATCCCAGATCGCTCCAGTTATTGTGCGGAGGATTTTCCTCTCAAATCTTTCAACACTTTTTCTTAGGGAACTGGTTAGTGTTAAATTGAATATATTACTTATTTTTATTTTTATTTAAAGGTTGGAGCCAATGGGACGAACTCTAAATTCTATGATGCTTCAAATTTTACACGGGAAATGTCATAAACTCTTCACATAATTGTAAGGGTGCATAGAAATTAATAATAAAATCCTACTATACAGTACTATATATAATTATATTTTTGAATATAAACTAAAATTTCATTAATAGGGACATAGGACGAGATAAAATACTAGTGCACCTATTTCTAGGCTTTAGCTCAGTCATCTTATTTCAGTCACCTTTCCTATTTTCTTGATTGATTTTGATTTATATGTTTTATTAATTCATGTAGATTAATTGGAATTTATTTTATTTTATTTTTGTTCTTCGAAATATTGGAGGTGTGAAACGATATTCTCACCTCTTTTCTATTTTTATTGGAGGGGCAATTACCCCCCTCATATCCCTAAAGTTCTGCACCTACGCTACCTATGTACACTTCAGTGGATATAGGCCAAAACCCTCAGTTTCCACCTCACGTCCGACATGCACTGTTATATTAAGGTTTTAGTTGAATATAACTATTTTCTTTATTTTTGGCACTGAAAACTTCCAGATATGCAAACAATTGGTTTATTTGTTGAATTACATGTCAAGTTGACGTTTTGGGAAAATTATTGCCCTCTTCAAAACTTCAAAACTTAAATTCCATACTTTCATAGCGATTTATGGCTAGAAAAGAGTTAATTAAAAAAGAATGCATGTTAATGTTGTGTTGTTACATAAAATGTTATAATTATCTAAAGCCTGATGTGCTCCTTTGTCATGATTTGAAATTGTCATGAATGTGTTATAAATGTAATAAAAATATACCGTCTGGAGCATCAACATCCCTAAGACTAATAATTGTGTATCTGCTATTTTCTTATTTAAAAAGTGTTTTTATTTTATATTACAACTCAAATTTAGAATAGAATAGAAAATAGAACTTTATTCTGGGACTAAGTCCCCTTAGAATAACAAAGATGAATTAATACAAAATAAAATACGAATCTGGCCAAAAACTAACTTATAAAAATTCTAACATAATATACATTATTTAAAAAGTAGTATGTAACCACTAAGAAATAAACCAAAAAAATATACATATATATAAATACACGCACATATACATACATACACATACACACATACACACATACATACACACACATACACAAACATACATATATAAATGAACATACAATCTTCTCCAAATTTACTTATTATTATGATAAAAAAAAAAAAAAAAGACAGAAAAGAAATTACATATCTATATATACATAACTGCACAATTTATAAACAATATGCTATCTAATAGAAACATAATTTAATACAAAATGTAATAATATTTACAGTGATTCATACAAAAATAAGCAAACACTAAGATAAAATAAAATCTCAGGAATAATTGTGGTATAAAGGTAAAAAAGGAACTATATATACGTACTTACTCATATTGGTACACAGAGAGACAAAAAGTATAAAATATAAACATATATACATGAAAGAAAAAGCACAACCTGAGGTGAAGAGAAATACAAATAAATAGTAAAAATAATAGTCAAAGATCATTGCTGTTTTATGTTAAAACTTAAATTGTAGGCATCAACATTTACTTCTCACAAATTCAGTTCATAAAATGAAATTTATGGTTGCAAATCGTCTGTTTGGGATGTGAGGAGATATTGGAAAAGAAATATTTGAAGGTTGACAGTGAAGAGGTATGACGGATGTTATGTGGCAAAGAATTCCAATAGGTGACGGAGCGGGCTAAGAAGGAACGTTCATAGGTTTTTGTCTTGTGTAACAGAATAGAGAGGTCAGAATCACGGGATCTCGTTTTTATTGAGTGGACTAAAGGTTTCGGCTGGAGGAGACAGTAGATATAGGAAGGGTTTTGAAGAATTTATGTGATTTTTTTTTTCCTTACAAGTAATCAATTACAAAAATTGATTTTTTATTATTAATAACAAAACTGTTTGTTATATAAATAATAATAATATAAATATATATAGATATATTATATATATAGAATATAAATAATAAAAAAGCTTTAAATTTTGAAGAAATTGTGTTTAGCAATTAAAAAAAATGGTGGCTAACTAATACTGCACTAACTAATACTAAATAATATATTGGAAAATTAGTTTCAAACAAAAAAATTGATTATATGTGATAAGGATGTGATCTGCGAAACTCCCTGGTTAATTCATTTTGAATGGTAAAACAAAATCAGCTGAGAACAGTCAGTTAATATGAAAACATGAATATGGATATATTCAGTTTAGTAATTTGGGAGGTGGCCCCGATACAGATAATTTGCCAAAAATTCCCATTTTATCTTTTGATTATTCATAGGGTAAATATTACTAGTATTATATAAATCTTTCAATGAAGCCTGACATGTTTATTTAAAATATTTTTTTTAATAATTAAAATGTTTCATTTACGTAATTGTATGTCAATTAAATTTTATTGTGATGAACACTGTATTTGAAAGTCATTGAAAAGCTATAGAGTATCCTTTTTACTATTATAGTTTCGATATTTAATACTTTTCACTCCTTCTCTGTAAATATTTGCATGTATTGTATATAATCTTGGATTGTATATAAAATTATACAACTTTGTTTAAGTTTTACTGATTAATTATGAATATTATATTTTTTTAATACAAAAATCAAAGTATTTTTGTATTAAAAAATAATATAAAATAAAAACGTCAATGTAAGAGTATGATTATAATTAACAACGAGTAAGATTTTTAAGAAAGTGGTATAGTCAGTAATACTTATTACATACATTAGCAAACTTTGGTACAAATCCATTTATAATTAGATCGCTTTATGCATGGAATCCTTTTTTTTTTTTTTTTTTATAATATTTTATCTGGATGCTTATTCTGAAATTGTTTAAACAATTTCCTTTCTGATCAAGTGTTATCCCTGCAACTTTTATTTAATATTTTCTTTAGTTGATATACATAATTTAATTGGTATTTTATTCTAATTTGTGAAAATTTCTGAAGTAATTTAGAAATCAAAAACTAAAAATTAAAGAGAAAAATATTTTTCAAGAATTATCTAAGAATTTTTTACTGTTTTAAAGGTTCGCTTGGGGTTTAAATAATTGAGATTTTCAGCCATAATATGTTTATTATGGTTGTCAACAATTCAACCAAAGTTTATGTCATAAACAGGCCAATAGTTTTTGGCTATAGGTATTATCTCGCTGGTACTGCCCACTGCAGCAACTGTTGGCAGTTGAGGACTGCTTTAGTGGAATAGAAAGGAGCATATTTATCCAAAAATCCAAAACTGCCCTTAAACATTCTGTGATTCTGTGATTGTATTCCTCTAAGAACCAGACAGCTCCTTGTAACGTCCCTTACATTCTCCCACTTCGACTACGGCTGTTTGGTGTATGGAGGGCTATCTGCCAGGCTATAAATGAGACTGAAGAAACTCATGAACTGTTTCATAAGATGCATCTTCGGGATCCCCAAGAGTTCACATGTTTCATTCTGGTACACTGAGTTGAAGTGGCTTTATCCTACTTCCCGACGACAATTCCTCCTTGATGTTTTCTTTTTCCAAGTCTTCAAAGAACCAAAAACCTCCTATATCCTGGAACTCCTTACTCTAAGTTCCTCTATCCACTCTCCCAATACCAGGTCTCAACCTATAGATGTATATATCTCCTCCCATAAAACTACTTCCTTCAGCAAATCCTTCTTCATTCATGCTACCTCCTTTTGGAACTCTCTTCCTACTTCCATACATCAATCCTCGTCCACAAATTCCTTCAAACAACTCCTGGTCCTCCATCTACTCCACATTCAAACTTCCGCTAACTTATAAAATTACTTGTATCTGTATACTGTTTAATTTAAACTACTGCACAATTGCCATAATGATAAACAGTTAATCAGTTTGTATTTTTTATTATTTTAAGCCAGACTAATACCCATAACCATAACCCTTCCAATACAAATGAGAACTGAAGAACTCAGTTCTTGTGATATTTTATACATCCAAACTTGAGTATAAATAGCAACAACCATAAATAACATATGACTGAAAATCCTCATTATTTATCATCCAAGTTATCATGAAATTAAAATTATTAATCTATACCTATTATTTAATAAAAGTGAAGAATTTATTTGTTTGTATACATTAATTTCAGGAAACACCAATCTGATTTGAAAAGAACTGTTTGCATTAGATAGACCATTTATTGAAACATATTCCATTCATTAGATTCTGTATACTTTCATAGTAAATAACTAATTTTTTGATTCCACCTTAATAAAACCTCCCAAAGTTATGATTCCTAGTAGATTTTGCGTGAAGTATGATGCAGAGTAATAATCCTTCCACTAATCCACAGTGGATCCAAAATGAAAATTTTGAAACATTTCATGTTTTTTGAGAGGATACAAAAACACATTTAAAGAAGCATTTCTCTGAATTTCATGGGATTGTTAGAATCTCATGGCCAAAAATCCGTTTTGTTCTTTTAATGTATTGATTAGTTAAAGAAAAAAAAAAAAAAAACTAAAAGATAACATTATTTTAATAATATATGAGTGGCCTAATATCAAAGACAGACTTCTATCATTTTTAAAAAGTTGAAAAAAAACATTTTTTTTTTAACATAGCTTCAATTTAAACCAATTCTGATGATTTTTTTTTTCATGATTCAACTTAAACATTCTTAAATAAAATCAACAGAAACAGTCTGAGTTGACTGTATAATACATATTTGACTTTTTCTCCACTTTCTTAAAATGGAAGATTTAATATGTTATTAAATAATTACTTTCAGCTTGAGATGAAAAACTTAGCTGCTGAATAGGGGATAACTATTTTTTTTTAAATTTTACTTTCATTGTTAAATTCTAAATGATTTAAATATGATAATCCTTGACTAAATTACTATCATGTATAAAATTTTATAAACATTAAAAATTTATTATTTTATTATATGTTAAAATACATAACATAATATTTTATTTCAGATCTCAATGAGAAAAAGAAAGGCTTCTGATAGCGAAAGAGAAATCCCAGAAAGGAGCAGGGCCTATCCTCCTTTTATCAAATGGGATCCATCCAGGGTTAATAAAGACACTCAGTTCATCCTATCAACGACCGCGTCCAAGGTACGTTTCCTTTAAATACTTTCTATTTATTAAACTTCTTATTTAAAATATTATATGAACAAATTGGCTTTGAAGAGATTGAAGCAAATCATGAACTGCTCTCTAAGATTCATCTTCAATATTCCACCTTTATGGAGAATTAAAGTAGCTCCTCTCCTCTCCTCTAGAATACTTCCTTCTACTTGCGTTTAAAAGCACAAAAATATTCCGTTTTTGAGATAAATTGTAATTCTTGGTGAAAGCCTCTTAGCTGATATGGTTGCCGTTGGATACTTATAACATGTTTAAGATTCAAATTAAAAATCTACTGAAAAGGCAGATGGAGGAGAACAGCTCTATGATCCTTTGGGTACTTTAGATAAAATAGAATTAAACTTTTTTGGCTACTCCAATACTTATTAGACAAATGCTCTAAGATTTAAGTTAATTACAAAAGGTTCATTTGCATGACTATAATAAGAACTGTAGTTGAGCTTTTTAGCTTCACCGAATCATCAAATCGTGTATTTCTATTGTATTCAGTTCTTACAATCCTTTAAAAAAATCCTTCATACTCCATATTTTGTCACAAATAAAACCATTCATAAAGACCTTAATGTTCCATATGTCACTGATTTGGCCCGAGCCAGATATCTATCCTTTCATGACAAATTCCAGTACCACCCAAATCCACTTGTTTCAAGCCTCGCTTCTTCCTCGATCCTGATAATCATTCAAAGCATCTCAATAGAAGATGGCCCTGGAATCTTCTTGGAACTATTTAGGCAGTGCTACCATTTGATAGTTTCTCGATAAGTCTGTTAAGGCACTATTCCTGATTTGTGCATATTTATTGTTTGTATTTATTCGATACAATTGTAAATTTCAATAATTAGGGTAAGCGCAGCAGTGATGGACATAGCCAAGGAAATTTTTGTCTTTTTAGCTGATGTCGTAATTATTATAGGTATAAACTTCTACCTTGGACATTTAGAATCTCTAGGATCTCCTTATTCTATTAAAAATTTTAAAATTAAAAAAAAAAATCAGTTATGAAGGTATAATCTCTATTTAACAAAAAAACACCATTTTGCACTAGTGAAGGACAATCCAAAATTCAATTGTTCTAGTAATGGACAGGGTGTTGGTAGCAGTAATAAATATACCTCAGAAAAATTCTAAAATCTTTATTTAACTATAAAGATAAGATAAGATAAATGTTCAATTTACCCTTAGCAAAACTGTTAATAGGAAGGTATGAAACACACTAATCTCAAGAACACTATAGAAACAACAATGATAGGCATTTAAATTTTTCTTTTGCGAACTTTGTTCATACAGTTATCAATAGAGGGCATTGTTCTTTAATCTAGAAAAAACTAGAACCTTTAAGTCAACAAGGAAGCTTATTATTTACATTTTAAGTACAACCTCTGTCCATAACTGGTGTGTTCACCCTAAATTTTTAAAAAATTGTCTGTTAAATAGACTATCTTGATGACATTATATTGTATAGAAAAATAAACATGTTTCGCTGATGTTGCTTATATGTCGAATGCATTAGATAGAAAGATCTAATGTGAGAGTTCTCACTGGAGTATACGAATCAGACTTATTTCGCTTTTGTCCTATCAGGCTCAGATGATTAATACAATTGCTCTTTATTTCAAACTGATATTTCTCTTTAAGAACATATTATGATAATAATTATACAAATATTTTCAGATTCTAGGCTACATGTCCTTGAAGGGTCGCATGGGCCTAAAAAATCCTGATCTGGTGAAGTACATGGTCGACCAGGACGACCGTGAATGGTTGACGACAGCAGGTATACCAGGGCTAATGCAAGGCACGCCAAATGTGGCACTTTTTCTTCTAGAAGATATTGTTCAACTAGCTAATTTTGAAGAATATAGGTATATGATCATTAGAAGAATTTAATTTAGATTTCATGGCATTAATTATTTATTTGTCTTAAGGAAAAATGAAGCATTTTGCTAGAAATTTATAACCGATAGAATGTATAATGAACATTAACAAGTTTTCAGTATTAGTATAACTTATTTATTTTTATAACTTAACTGAGAGCTCTGATATTAACTGGACTGGACTGTTTGTTTGTTTTTTATTTGAGTTATTTTTAACTCAAGCCCTCCCCTCCCCCCAAAATGGTAAAATATAACCATATTTTACACAAAAAAATATTAAAAACTATCTCTTAAAGTATTCTTGTTCGTGTAATTACATTTAATAGGACTTCAAGAACTACTTAAATACCATTTCATATAGGTAATTAATTTATTTTTTTCAAATTAATTATAGTTTTATATATATATAAGAAAAAAAAGCTTTCGGACTAGGGGAGGGGAGAAGCCCCCATAATTAAATTCTGGATCCGCTAGTGCCAATGGCTCAATGATTCTATAGGCTTTTGGAATGATTGTTTTTATTTCTTAATTTATGTTAACTTAAATATTTATATCCAGTTTACTTTCTATCTATACTTAGTTCTGTTTTTGAATTCAATAATTCAGTGGATAGATATTCCCTAGTCTTTAAGGAATCCAATCAATTAATGAATTCCATCTATGAAAGTAGTGCTGAATTTTGAAACTCCTAATGTACCATATATATATTTTTACAGCCTATCTTATTTTATTTACTTATAAAACCTAATAAAATACATTTTAATTAAATATTTTTACTCATCGACAATAGAATGATAAAAAGTCAAGAAATAAAATTAAAGATATTTCTTGAATGGAAGTTTTTAAGCTGGAAACACTTAACCAAGCTAACACAATTTATCTTTGTAAATATTTATCAGAAAAAATATAAGAATTTTTTAATTAGATTGAGCCGTCAGATTTCCGATATGTAACGTTCGGGTAAAGTCGAGTGGAGTTGACTAATTGTAGTGTTTTTGCATATATATTAAAATATCTCAAACTAAAAATTGGATCTGCATATTGTTAGTGAGGTAATTGTTCTGCATGTCATCCTCTCTGTAATGGGCTATTATTCAAAATTGTATCTAAAAGTGACGCCATATTAGAGAGGCAAAAAAGAAAGAAAAAGAAATGGATTAAACTATCTCAGAAACTAAAACTTGGACCTTCATGCTGTAAGCGAGGAAAATATTCAACACTTCATCTTCTTTATAATAAGCTATAATTTATAATTTGTATTTCATATAATTAATTAACTTATCTTCACTAATAAATACAAATTGAAAATTTCTGCAAGTGCCCCAATTTTACAGAAATTCAATCATATATGTTCAAGATCAAAAGCAATGACAATACTCACAACAAACAGAGGTGTTCAAAAAGGATTTAATTAAAACTAAATTAAATTCTTTAAGTCTTACATTTTGATAAGAAACCAAAAATTCTATCGCAATAACAGGATTTAAGTAGAAGGAATATCATTCCCAAGAGTAGAAACATTCAAATAACTCGGCTCCACAATAACCTCAATGAATGACCAATGGGCAGAAATAGACCTGCATATAACTAGTGCAAACAGAGCTTTCTTCTCCCTCTCAAAAGTATTAAAATCACATAAAATCTCAATAAATCTCAAACTAAAGGTGTAAAATGCTAGGATAAAGCTAGTTATAATATATGGCTGTGAGACCCATATGCTAACCAGCACCCTAGAAAAAAGTTTGAAAGATTTGAGCGGAAAATCCTCCACACAATAACATGAGTGATCTGAGATCAGAGTACTAACACATGGAGAAGAAATACCAATAAAGAATAGCTTACAGAAACTGGTCAATCAATATACCTTGATATCAAGGTACGGAGGTTAAGATGCTAGAAGGGTATGTAGCTTGTAGCAATCCATCTGGAAGCCTCTATGTAACAATGAATGCCTCAATAGAAGACAAAAGAACATGTGGAAGGCCAAAAAGCAGATGGATAGATAGAATCAACAAATATGCAACAGAGCTACGTGCAGATAAATGACAAGAAATAGCCCAAGACAGGCAGAGATGAAGCAGGCTTGTTAAGGCAGCAAAAGATCTACATGGTCTGTAATTCCAACAGAAAAAAAACAACATATTCAATTCATTTGTTAAGATATTTTCAAATATACCCAAAACCCATTTGCAAAAAAAAAATCTAATATATAAACATGTGTATATAATTTTTTTTCATATATATAGTATTGTATTGTCCGTTTTACAATAATTATATTGATTATTTGAATTGCCTATCATAATTTTTATACATAGTATAAACTTATGAGATTTTTTTGGAGGGGGAGAGGATAGGTAGCACATAGCAACTCATACAGTTGCTAACCATGATATAGTCAAAATGTCTCTCAGCTCTAATTCATTAACATGCATTTATAAATTTATATACATTTTAAATATTTTTATTTAGCGACAACAGGGGAAGAAGAAAAGTGGGAAGATATTTCTTGGGTATAAATTTTGAAACTAAAAATACTATTGTAAGTTAAAAAGTATAAGATAAAGTGGTAAGAGATAGACACAGAGATGTCATGATGTAGATGTATCTCCAATCTTGTGACGTAGTTCTTCCTATCACTTTTCTACATAACAATGAATGCCTCAATAGAAAGCGAAAGACCATGTGGAAGGCCAAAAAGCAGATGGATAGATAGAACAAAGATTCAACAGAGCTGCCTGCAGATAAATGGAAAGAAATAGCCCAAGACAGGCAGAGATGGAGCAGGCTTGTTAAGCCGGCAAAAGACCTACATGGTCTGTAATGCCAACAGAAAAAAAAAAGTCTTACATTTCCAATTTTTAAATATCTCTGTAATTAATTGAGTTTTATAAAATAACATTTATAAGTGATGTATAATTTTCATTTTATTAAATGAAAATTCTATTTTTTATTCATTTTTAAACCTTATTTACAGGAGTAATGCGTTACTACATGCACACGAGTTGAAGGGTTTTGTATTACCTGATTTTATTCAGCGGAAAGTTAGAGCTTACATGACTTTAATGAGGACTAAGTACATAGAACCTGAGGTGACGGCGCCTCTTCCTTCACCTCCGCCAGATCCTCTAGAGAGGATTTCACCACATTTCCTCGACGATATACCTGTGAGTGCATAAATTAGCTTATTTATTATGTGAAATAATTTTATTGTTATAGAATATAATTGAAATAAAATATAAAATTCATTATATTTAATCTATATATGATTATTTATTTATCAAAACCCTTTTTTTTTTTATCTCAGTGTTTTAATTTTACTTTTAAAAAAATCATATAGATTACTGTACAGAAATACATCTTTATAGATAGATAGATAGATAGATAGTTTATTGGCTAATTATGTACATCTTTTAGCCATGGAGTTTGGCCCATTTGGTGTTAGTAGTTGTTAGTATTGAATGGCAATGTTTTCCTTGGTCATAGTCCACATCTCACTGCCATATAAAACGACTGGTCTAATTACCGTTTTATATATTACTATTTTTGCCTTCCTGGACAGATTTTTGTATCGGAGCACCTTATTGGAGCGACTGTGAGTACAAAAAAGGGTTTTGATGAATAAATAATCATATATAGATTAAATATAATAATTATTAAAATATCTCACAAATAAATATGAATAACTTAAATAAGGTAGTTTATCTTAAATAAAATTCATTTTAATTTCCATTTGTAGCTTGCTTATGATGAATTACATCTCCTGGATTCATCGGAGTCGACATTACAAGAGCTATCCCCTTCCATTAGTGAAGATGCGATATTTGGCCTTAATTGTATAGATCCATGTAACACATTACAATCAGTAGAAGAAAATCAACCAACAGTGAGTTTCATTTAATAACGTTATGTATTTGGATAAGTTATTGTTTATTGTTTAATAATAGTTTTTTTTCTATTATTATTACTATTTAAATAAGTTTTTACTAGTATTTATTGAGTTTTCTTTCTGAATAATGACTTATAAGTAAAGAAGTTAATTTCTGTTTAAACATTGCTTGTCAATTTTGGTTTTGTACAGGGGTATAGCTTGTTTTATAATATATGATTATAACTCTGTAATTCTGTACTCTTTTATTGGGTCCATTTAATGATATTATGGTTTATTACGATTGGCAAAATTTCACAATTATTTGTCAATTGTCAGATATAGTCACCTATGTGGATCAGTCAAATATTTAGGTAAAATTTAAAACTATACTGTAGTAGATAGCCCCCTGTATTTACTCCTTTGTGTACACTATATTTGACATTGTGTGAGGGAATGAGAAGGAATATATAATATATAGGAATGTGAGGTTGCACTGTGAATTGTACTCAATTGTGCAGTGGATAAATTGTTCTTTGAAAAGTCTCATATTGATAAATAATCGATAAAGAAGGAAGAAGGTGGGAGGTACCGAAAGGACCCAGCAGGTAGCAAAAGCTGGAGAGAAGAGAAGGCATTCTAGGCCGGGATAGGTAGAAAGGAGGATGTCAGAAGAGAGGAGGAAGGCGGACTTGAGGCCTGGACAGGAACACAAGAAGACTTCATCTGGGAAGAGAGGCTTACTCCATTGAAGACCAAGAATATCAAGCCGACCGTTCACTAATATATATTCATTATCAGTTGTTAAAATAAATTTGTTTTGTTAGACAGGAGTGAATAGTCCTTTTATTTAGTTGTCCTATAGGCCTCACAATTGAAGAATAAACCAGGTGAGTCAATTCATTCAAAGTGTTTACTAAGTCCCACATTTCAAATAAATATTCTTATTGTTTCTTCTCACTCAGTGTCACAAAAGGTGTTAGATCCCCGAATTCCCAACAACAGTTAAACACCCTCAAAAAAGTCTATATCCAGTGCCGGGGTTTTGTTTTAATAATTCACGAGTGTAAATAACCTAAATCCTTGATATAAAAGCGGAAGGCTATTTGCTATTCCGGCCAAAACTAATCATTTACAATTAACTTTCAGTAGGCTATTTACAATACTCATCAAAGAAAATTACTTATTCATTTTCTGAAACCAATTAAGAATTACATCTTTGGAAATGGCAGAAAACCAATGTGTTAATCAGTTTTCTTCATTTACGTTAGGATGATTCCTTTACAATTGTCTGCATACAGCTCTGCACAATCTTTGTTGATTCGATCGATCCATCTAATTTATGGCCTTCCATGTAATCTCTTGCCAACAATTGAGGCATTCATTGTTGTGTAGAGACTTCCTAATGCATTCAAACTTGTCCCGTCTATCTTAACCTCCTTGTTATATATTGAGGTATCGATTGACTAATTGTTTATTGATCCTTTTCCTCGATGCTCGCGCAGTATCCTGATTACAGATTACTACAGTTATTATGCAGAGGATTTTATTCTGAAATCTTTCAATTCTTTTTTCTATGGCACTGGTTGGTGTCCTGGTCTCGCAGCCATTTATCAGAACTAGCTTTATTATATCATTGTACAACCTTAATTTGAATTGAAATATATATTACTAATACAATTTTTTATTATTGCAATTTTTTTTAAAGTTTTCCAAATAATAATAAATCATATGATATTTTTAGATACAAATGAGTGTTGGTGTTGGTGTTGAATGCTTACCATCCATCATAACACCATTAGCGATGCTTGAAACAGGTAAATAAGCTAATTATTTTAATATTTCATAGTTTCAAGTTAGACAACATAAATTAAGACAAAAGGTGATAATAATGTTGACACATATATTTATAGCTTGATGGATTATAGATAATTTGGAAATATTACATCTTTATATAAATCCACATCCACACATATATTATTACAGTAAGGCTCAAAATCGGTTTTGTACCAAATATGAGCTCCTGTCATGCTCAAATGCCATGAAGGGAGTACCGTTGGATTCAGAATTTCACGGGGGGTTAGCGAATCGTATTCTCCACTTTTGTTTTTCTTTCTAAAATAAATAAAGTCGATACAAACATTTTGCTAGGCTTGGATACTGGAACGGTGGAAGGTCTGTAGATCGATACGGGACAAATTGGATCTTGAAGATTTTGATGCGTACAGCAAGACCCGGATAGTTCCTCCGGAACTATCGGATTCTTCGTTTTTAAGCCCAAAAAGTACTATTTTCGAGATAACGCAAGGCATAGGGTTCGCATCCACACAACCTTACATTAATTGTAGTACTGTCATTGAATACATGTCTCATTTCGTCAACTTGAGGCCTCTATGATCGAGCGAGGAGGAGTTTATATTATTTATCGATGGTGTTTTTGATAGGCTAGCCATATCATTGTTAATTCCTCACCAGATCTCAAGATTGAGCCACCAATTTCAAAGGTTTCCTTCTCCTTCAGGTGGGCCAATCACCCCGAAAATTCAGGCAAACAAGTTATGAAAGAAAATAAGCTTTATTTGCGAATAACTAAAAAATTACACACTTTTCTCTGGGTTGTGCCCATAATTACATGAAAGATTACTTAATTCTCTACAAAAGGAAAAAAAAAATCTTCGAAATCGGACAATTTTTAGCAAAGATACAGCTTACTGAAATTTGTAAACATGTTGGTTCCAAACATTAATGTAGATTTAAATTAATTTTTGTTTTTTTTGTCGATTATATTTATCGATAAAGTAACATTGTATTTCTTTATCTTTTGATATGTTGCATTATTTTGTTTTCTTATTAATTTGGCATTTGATAGCAATATGCTGTGCGTATTTTTTGCATGGGCCTACTAGTATATAATATTTGTGCAAGCCATATATAATTTATTGCAAACTTATATAATAAAAATTAAAAGAAAGGAGTCAATTATTTATAATCTCTTAGACATAGCTTGAAATCAACTATGACCATTGTTGATGAATTTAGCAACATTCAATGTACAAATCTTTAGCTTCTATATGCTATATTGGTGATCGTAACTATTTGTCATCCACAATTAATTGGCAGCCTGAGGGTTATCCTATGTGAAGTTAAAACTAATGTTCTTTTTTTCCCTTAATCTCTGATTTACAAATAATGATAAGGCTTAGGAATTTTGGAAGAGAAAGGCTGTTAAATATTATGTAATATTTGAATTTTATTTCATTTAACATATCTCTCATACAGTTGCTTTATTGATAGGCTAAAATTAATTATTTGAATACGTTCTGTATTTTTTAAAAATTTCTAACAAATAGAAAAAACATGTGCCAGAAGATCAGGACCTAACATGTGCCTTTCTATGTCGGCGCCCCAGAGTAATTGTCCCAGTTATCCCACCCTAAGGCCGGCACCATATATAATTGAATATAAACAATTGATGAATAATTAATTAGTATTTTTATGAGAATTATTATTTAATGGATTGACTTAAAATAATGCTAACTATAAAATATAAAAATATTTTTATTATATGAACTAATTTTTTAATACAATAGCCAATCTAATTAGTGCATTATGAAATTCATTATTATTGATATTCAGGAAAATGAAGAAGGGAACTACTTCTTTGGAGAAAGTAAGCTTGTAATTAACGTAATATTGACACATGTGAGGAGTCACTTCTGTATATTTCCTTCAATTATATTGACACATTAATATTTTGAGCACAAGGGGCCCTTATGAAATTCAAATACTATAAAATTGAAAAATCCTAAAAAAAAAAATAATATTTTGAATAATTTATGTAGTAAAATAGAGAGTGGCTCTTCCCCTCCATTCGAAGACAATATTTCTTAGGTACATTCCTCTATCATATCATCAGCAACCATCGTCCTACAACCTTCTCCAATTCAAGTCCTCAGTCCACTCCCTCTCCACAAGATCTCGACCTTCGGTCTGCGGACCATTACATTCCTTCTCACAGATCTGCCTCGTTCCAAAACTCCTTCATAGCTCGCTCTGTTAAATTTTGGAATTCCCTTCCTATCAAAATTCGGCATTCTTCATCCCCGTCTACATTCAAAACCCTCCTATTCCAATTCCTGTCCCAAATACAGTCAGATACGTCCTAACCTTTTATGTAAAATTACATATTATTCATAATAATTTATTTACATATAGCTCATAACAGAAATACTTATTAGCAGTTCAACTTTTTTTTTTTTTTCTAAAAGTATGTATTTATAATATATATTTATTTTATAATTTTACGTAGTTTTAAGTGTCTTGGCAAGGCTTCAAGAGTTTTGTATATAGATTTTATTTTTTATTTATTTTGTATATAGTATGTATAACTAATATTTTCTTTATTGATTTAGCTTTACCTTTACTTTTTATGTTTGTTTTTATTTGGCCAGATACAACATTTTAATTTTTTTATTTTTTGTTATTCTGAAGGGACTTCGTCCCAGAATAAAATTATTTTCTATTCTATTCTAAAAATTTAAATAGTTATTTATTCTTTTAAATTAATCATTTCAGGTGGCCTGGTAGAACTGGAACCATCATTCATGGCAATCAGGGGAGGAGAAACTGAGGATTAGCCTTCACTCATCTCATTTCCGAATACATCGTGGGTCTTCGCCCCCGATAACGAATAACGGCACTAAACGAATGCTTTTAAGAAGCATTTCGTCTCTACGAATGTACATAACTCTTATCCGCCCTTACATATTATATCATCTGGCTGGTGCCTTCGTATCTACTTTGTTTGCTATATTCTTGTTCCAATAAATCGTTGTATTATAAAAATTAAAACCCAAACTGTAAATAAATTAAAAAAAAATGTTAATGAAAAAAAATGGCTCATAATTCTGGGGCTAGGTTGTGTGTATATCGTTTGCCCCATAATCATTACGCTCAGGATGTTATGTGATGCGGAAATATCATGCAATATTAAAGATTTTCGTAGGCTTTTGACTTTCGTAACTGCATTAGTAGTCTAAGTTGAAATTTATGAAGAATGTTTAAAAAAGTTATGGTATGTTCTTATTAACAAAGGAGATAGAATTAAATGGATAGTTAAAAGAGTTATTTGTTTGATATTAATATTAATCATTAGTGGAGTGAACTGTAGATTAGGACCTTTCCATTTGCTTCTGAGTTAGGTAAAGTACAATCTTTTCGATGTGAGTTCTCATTCCTTTTAAAGCATTATCTATTTGCTTAATGTATTTTAAACCCAAGTAATATAATGCTAGAAAAAAGCATAATATTAGGTCTTTCAAGTGCATTTACAATTCAATCTCATCATTTGTAGATCTTCAGAAAATAAAAAAAAAATAAAAAACTAATTATAAAATGACTAAAAAAAAAAAGTGAAATAAGAACTTCTCTTTTTTTAATTTTAGACACTAACAGAATTTTAAAAGTGATTGTACAAAACAAACGAATATTTTTAAGGAGTGGTAATTTAAGTAAGTAAATTAGCCCTTAATTTCTGATGTCAATTATTGGTTGTGAAATTAATTTCTATCGTGGTTTTTCCAATGAAATACGTAACAATGAATGTATCTATCTATACTTTTTGATAAAAAGAACTCGTACGACATAAGTTTTCTTTACCTTAGATGTTATTAGTTCTTTTTCACTAAGTGCTACTTCATTCTCTTAGTTATTTTATTGTTCTAGCAAATTTTTATAATAACAAATGTATTTATTAATTTGCTCCACTATATAAGGATAGGAAACTATTGCTCGAAAAAGGAAATGTGTGATGGTTAAACAATCATGTAGTTTTTAAAAGAATAACGATATATGTATTGTACTATAGCAATATCTTAACTTTATGGGAAGTCAATTCCACCCATTTTGACCTTGCAAAGTGTTCCATGTTTATACTGACTTCTGGTGATTGAAATTTCTTTATTGTTGTCAATTGTGATTCTATTGCATTAGGGTATAGTTGTTAATAAGTGTTGTAAATAGTTTAGAAAAAGTGTTAGCAGTATGTGTTGTTTTAAAATTACTTTTTCTCCATTTAAAATAGATCTGTCTGTGATGGCATGAAATGTCCTATTGTTAATGTTTATGTATTTTAAGAAAAGTACATGAATATCATAAAAATGTTTCTTTTTTGTTTTGTTTTATTTTCCTTTTTGTCACTTCCTATTACCTGTGAAACAATATTAAAAAGTTGGCTGTGTTACATGAAATGTTATTTCGATTTTGATCAGCAGTCCAATAATAATAAAATTTGGAAATAAAGAGAAAAGAGACTCACTACTTGACCAAATTTCCAAAATGTACTTAAAACCTTATTTTTTTCTCTTCTATATATTAAATAGAGACTTAGGCAATATTTATTAAAAAAAAAAACAAAAAAAAAAAACACTGAACCGCTACAACCCATGAAAGGTCTTGGTTCAGTATTTGGGACCAAGATCACGCTAAACTGCTGACGTTTCCCCTTAATAAAGGATAGGTATGCCCCAAGAGAGTCTTCTGATCCTGGGTTCAATCCACTGTTGATGTAACAGAATATATAATCACCTGTCACAGCCAGATTTGATCCCAGGATCTGGTTATAGGAAGTTTGTGTCTTGCCAAAATTTTTTATAAATATATAGAGATCTTTTTAATGAATGTGGCATAACTGAAAAAGTGCTATCTTAAGGAAACCGTGCATATAGTTTTTAAAAAATAATAACTTTGTTTCTGTTTAGAAGTATTATATAATATGTTTTGGTTTTTTTTTTTAGCATCAGCAACTTGAGTTTTACACTATCTGACCTTTCTCAATTTTTTTTCAATTATAAGAACCACAATTTAAAATTTTCCTTAAATTTACAGAGTTGTAATTTATTTTTAAAACCAACTTCGATAAAGGAGATTCTTAATTTGATTTACTTTTTATGAATATTCATTTATAGTTTCAATTTTCTTTAACCGATTTCTGTGATTTTTTTTGTCAATCAAAAGAATATACCTCCAGGGTGGTCCCTTATAAAATTTCATTATGATCCAATACAAATTTTAAGAAATAGAGAAATAATCTTTTATCAAACAACTGTTCAGATAAGTATAATGGTTTAGTTTTCATTGCATATTTCTTAATGTATTTGTTTTGTTTTTTAAATAAATAAACCACGAATTTGCTCTACAGAGAGACTATTGAGATTTAGGAGTCTTGTAGATACAGATATGTTGCATTTAAATATTACTCATTAATTAAGATCTCATCATTTACAAGAATCTTAAAAGAATCACGCATGGGTTATGCGTGGTTCACAATCACTTCGGTCACAACTGTTCATGAGGTGCCGATTGTTTCCGGGTTTATCCGAAAGACTGTTTTCGGCATTTCATGAACAAGTGTGACTGGAGTGATTGTGTACTAGGTATAACCCATGCAGTTCTCATCTAAATAATTACCATCTTGGCACATTAACAATTGACCATTATCATTATTCAATTGAATGTGTCAAGACGGTAATTGTTTAGACGAGGATCACATGGGTCATGCATGGTTCACAATCACTTTGGTCACACTTGTTCATGGAGTGCTGAATGCATTCGGTTGTATCCGAAAGACTGTTTTCAGTATTTCTTGAACAAGTGTGATTGAAGTGATTATGAACCACACGTAATCTGTGCAGTCCTCATTTAAATAATTACTGTCTTGGCACTTTAACAATTTACTAATGACAAATGGACTTAAAAGAAAAGAGAATTTAAACTGACCAAGGGTCTTTTATATTTCATGTTATTATCACTTGGGCTATTTTAGACACTTACCAAGAAAGTTAATTGTTAAGTTTCCATGATTTCATTTATGAAACCAAAATTATTTGACATTATCGATTCAACTTGAGAACTTGGCACCAATATCATATTGATTTGGAATAGTTAGTTAGTGATTATAATATTTCATATATTAATGATTGTAATATTTTTTAATTGAAGAGAAGATTGGTTGGAGTGATCAGTAAAAAAAATGTAAAAATAAATAAGTATTTATTTTTATTTTTGCCGACATTTCGGCCCAAAGTTCAGTTTTAATATTCTAGCTATGCTTCCGATACTTTCTATCCCTAACTTTGTTATCATTATTTTATATTTTCATTAAGTTTATTCTACCTACTTTATTTTACTTTAAGTTTATTTTACCTACATTTTTAGACTATACCTTTCACCTACATATTAGTTTTCTTTTTAATGTCGATAGTTTCTCATATTGTTATCTGTTTTTTTTCTTAGCCTTGATGAAGGCCTGAACTTTAGGCCGAAACGTCCCAAGGTTTGAAAAAATAAAAATAAATATACTTACTTATTTTTACATTTGTTTTTTTAATTATCACCACAACCAATCTTATCTTCAATTATTCACTACAGTCAACCATCAATCCAGAATATTTTTTAAGTTTGAAAACAATATGGAAAAATAATACTTAAAAAACATTGTTTAGAAATGTATGAATCATGAGCAGTTTAAGAATACTAAAAAAAAAAAATAAAAACAATTCAACTACCTCTATTGACACCACACTAAAAATTCTTCCAATTACTTTTAAACCCAAAAAGTTTGAATTTGAGAACTTAATGTGGTAAAAGATTTAATTCAAAGTGTTAATATTTAAATACATACCTTTTGTCTATGCAATGCTGTATTTGACTTTCCAAACAAATGATACTCCTTCTTAAATTGGGAAACTTGTTGAAAAATTTGAAAGCTATTTCAATATATTGCAGCAACGTTTCTGTAATCACATATCTATTTTAAAGATAAAAGAAAAAGAAAAGAAAATTTTCTAAGTGGCTCTAATATATATAATAAGTAACACAAGATATAATAAGTATTAAGTTATTTTAATATACATTTTCCTCATAGAACTGTTAAATGAGATTTTATTTAAATGAAATATTTGAGAAAAATTAAAATGTCTAAAATAACAATAATTGTTTAAAAAATTGTACTGCCATATAAATTTTGAGTTAAAACTTACTACAATAAAGAGTTGGATTAAAGGATTAAGTCTATCAAGTTAAAAATTTAAGAAATATTCCAACAAAACCAAAAACATACATACTAATACTTAATAAATGAAAGAAAAAAAAATCATTTATGTAAACCACAAAATAAAGTAATGTTTAATATTTATTTTAAGTGAAATATGACCAATATTTCAAACAATCCTTAAACCTTTATTTCACTGTATCATTAAAAAGGACCGAGTTATTAATTTTAAATAAAAATAATATCTTTTTGAGGTTAGTAAAGAAATTCCGTTATTTGAAAAAAGAACTTTGCCTGTTTTCAGAGAAGTTCCTAATTCAATAGCTTGAGCTTCCAATGATTGAGTTAAGGCGGGACTCGCGTTATTCAATTATCGCCTTCCTTCCACAACAGACACATAATATGAAAACTAAGATGTCAATTTTTTAACATTAAATATTCTTATAGTGATTCTAAATATATATTCATTTTTTTTTTTATAGCGTCAAGATTTTACACAAAATCCCATTTTGCAAATATTTAAATGATTTAGAGCAAGCGCCTAAGCCCAGCGCTGAGCTAATTGCTGGTCATCGGAACTCCATCAGG